GTGATATTTCGTCCGCAGACCTTCGCCGGGGGTTTGAGAGAGGTACCCCGATCGATTTCGCCGGGAGGGGCCCCTAGGCAACGCGCGGTCCCGGCGTCCTTTGCTCCGTCCGCCGCCGGTCTCGGCCGCGTTCCGCGGCGTCTCGGCCGCGTCCCGGAAGTCGCGTCCCGCGGGTCCGGCCCGGGTCCCGCGCGCGTCCCGGCCGCGTCCCGGGCCGCGTCCCGCGTCCGGCGTCTCGGGCGGCGTCCGTGCGGGTCCCGGCGGAATCCCGCCCGCGTCCCGCGTGGGTCCCGGCGCGCGTCCCGCCGATGTCCGTCGCGTCTCGGCCGCGTCCCGGGGTCGGCGTCCCGGGCGTCCCGGCGCGCGTCCCGGCCGCGTCCGCCGGGAGTCTTCCGCGTCCCGGTGCGGTCTCGGGCGGGTCCCGGGTCCCGGCGACGTCCCGCGCGTCTCGCCGGGTCTCGGTAGCGTCCGCCGCGTCTCTGGCCACGTCCTTCCAGGTCCCGGCCAGGTCCTCCGGCGTCTCGGCGGCGTCCCGGAAGCCGGACGGGCGCGAGCCCCGGCCAAGACGAGCGCGGGACGCGAGCAGGACGCAGGACGCGGCCAAGACAATGGCCGAGCTTCGGCAAGACGCCGCGAGTTTCGAAACCCGTGGAAAGCGCCGCTCCTCGCGCTCCTTCGGCGCCGAGGCCCGGCCCCGCGGCGTCCGTCGGGCCCGGCGGCCACACAGGCGCCCGGGGGCGACGGCGGGGCGCCGCGGCGCGACCGGCGTCGTCACAAAGGGCGCGGCGATCGGCAGCGAAGCCCGAGCCGGACCATGTCGCAGCGGGGGCGGCACCTCGTCCGCCTGTCCTTCGGCGTGAAGGAGTGGGGCTCGGGCACGGAGCTCTGGCGGTCCTCCCCCGTGTTAGTGTACACCCCGTCCCTACCCGAGCGCGGCGACGACGCGCTCGAGCTCGGGGCGCGGTACTGCCCGGACGACGAGCTCCAGGTCTACGACGACGCGCGCGCGAACCTCGTCCACATCTCCATCTCGCTCGACGGCGGCGACCCCATCATCCTCCCGAGCACGGACGCCTTCCGCGCGGCCATCGGTCTCGCGGAGAAGGCCGGCGACGTCGTCTACACGCTCCTCGCGCGGATTCCGACGCCGTCGACGACGGTCTGCTCGCGGGTCTGCTGCGGCGCCAACCTCGCCGCCAACGAGGAGTTCAACGAGGTCGCCGCGCAGTTCTTCTTCGCGACCGACCGCCGGAAGGGCGACCTGAAGAGGCCCCGCGGCGACAAGCGAGTCAAGCTCGTGTTCCCTAACGGGACGCAGCGTACCGTCGAGTGGACCGCCGCCTGGCCGTCCGAGTCCATGCCACTGCTGCTGACGACGGCCATCATCTCCGAATTCCGGAGATGCATGGCCGTCGACGCGGCCGAGGGCGGCGCGACGGCGGCGTCGATGTGCGCCGCGTCGGCCTCGGACGCGCACGTCGCGTTCCGCTTCGAGGAGCGCGCCGACGGCAAGGTCCGCGTCATCGTCGTGTCGGGCACGGTCTTCATGATCTGGCCCGACATCTTCGAGCTCTGCAACGTCCGCGAGAAGGTCGCGATCGCGCTCGACGTCTCGAGCGCCGCGGCCGAACGCGTCGCGCCGACGCCATTCCACTACCGATGTCCGTTCTGTGAGCGGAGCGTCGCCGGCCGTTCGATGAACGACCTCTCGGCCCTCCTGGCGCACATGGGCCGCTGCTGCCCGAACGACGACGCGCGGCGCGCCGTCGCGCGCCTCGAGCGCCTCGCCGCGAAGTCGTCGCTCGGCCCCCGCGAGGACGCCGCCGAGCTTTCGCCGCCCGCGGGCCCGATGCTGCGGCCGCCGACCGCGTCCGTCGCGGGGCAGCGCCTCGACGTGCTGCGGCTCCGACCTCTCGGGCCCGAGCTGTCGTCGGGCGCTCGGGCCTTGGACGCGATGATCGGGTCCGGCGCGCTCGCGCGCTCGCACCCCATGACCGAGCGCATCGACGTCTTCTGCCGGAGCATGAGCGGCCTGAGCGTGAAGTGGGGGGGCACGGAGTCCCTCCTGTCCTTGGAGCGCAACGTGAAGACGCACGGCAACGTCTACGGCTTGCGCGGCGGCGCCGGATCCAGCGACCTCGACGACCGCCAGCAGCCGACCCTGCAGACCATCGCCGCGACGAACGACGTGCTCGTGCCGCCGGGCACGCACCGGAACTCGCGGCTCGCGCTCCAGCCCTACTCCGGGTCCTACCCCGACGGCATCATGCGGGCCTACGAGGCCGTGTCCGACGCGTGCGGCGCGCCGACGCTCGGCGCCGCGGGCGACGGCGCCGTCCTCGCTCGCGTGGCCACCGGCCAGTTCGACGGCGTGCCCGTGGCCGTCGGCGCCTCGCCCGTCTACGCCACGGCCTCGGACGACGAGGCCGTCGTCTTCGTCGGCTTCTACCCGCCCGTGACGCAGGCCGACGCGCTCAAATTCGCCGACGACGTCGCCCTGGACCCCGCGGCGGCCATGGAGACGCTCATGGCGGGTCGGCAGATGGTCTCGGGCGTCGACTTCAGCCACTTGGTGCTCGTCGGCACGAACCTGTCGTTCCCCGTCGCGAAGCACTTCACGCCTCCCAAGGGCGGCGGAAAAGCCGCCGACCTCCGCCATATCGGCCGGGCCTGGTCGTCGGCGCTCGTCTGCAACCGCTGCCGCGGCACGCGCTGGGCCGACGACTGCGTGTCCAGCCGGCTCTGCGCGACGGGCGAGTGCGTCTACCGCCCGCCGACGGCCGCGCGCTGCGCGACGGACGCGCCCTGCGACGAGTGCCGCGCCTTGGGCCACACGACGGCGAACGGGCGGCTCCGCGCGTGCCGGCGCAGCCTCGAGGCCAAGGCCCAGTGCAGGCGGTTTGCGGTGCTGGTGGTGACGGCGGACGGCGAGCACTCGGCCGCCGTCAACGCCTGCAACGAATACGTCGCGGCGTTCGTCGACGGCTCGGTCCCGCAGCCGCTCGAGGCCCTGATCTCCGCGGCGCCGGGCCTGCGCGAGTTCCTGCGCGCCGAGCGGCCGCTGTGCCTCGTGGACTTCGTGCACTCGCTGCGCCGCATCTGGGGCAAGTCCCAGGACTACTTCCTGCTCTCGGGCGACGAGCTCGTCTCGACGCACCTGCTCATGGCTCTGCGGAGCTTCGCGGCCCGGCCGCACGAGTGGGTGAAGCACTTGTCGACGAAGGCGCTCCGCGCCAAGAACAGGCTCTGCTCCCAGTCCGTGGTGAGCCTCGGGCGCCTGCTCCTCGAGCGGCTCGTCGCCACGGACGCGCCGCGCGGCGTCGCCGTCACCGTGGTCCCCGAGACCTACCTCGTTGGAAGAAGG